GTATTTCATACAATACTTTTGGGCTACTCTTAGAGCTTTACACAACAAGTCACAGTCATCTATTCATCTCCATATTCACAGTGAAGATGTAATATTTTGAGTCTAAATTCATTCGCTCACTCTCACATACGTGCATTCTTCTTTCACATTCATATATTACTGTATACATGTTTATGAGGGCATATTTCAATTCATTTCAATTCAGTTTTATTTATATAGCCCCAAATCACAACAACAGTTTCTTCAAACCACTTGATATTGTAAGATGAAAAACCTATAATAATACAGAGTAACCCCAACAATCACATGCAATCACTTTGGTGAAAGTGGTAAGGAAAATTTCCTTTTTAACGAGAAGAAATCAATGACAGAGCCAGGTTCAGAGAGGTGCGGCCATATGCCGTGACCAAGTGGGGGTTAGGGGAGGGAGACAGGACAAAAGCCATGCCATGGAAGAGAGCCACAGATTAATAACTTATAATTAAATGTAGATTGATGTATAAGCACATGGTGAGTGAAAAGGGCTGAGAGAAGGAGAAACGCTTAGTACAGACGTTCCCAAAGTGTGGGGCCCGCCCCCTAGGGGGGGCGCAGAGCCATTGCAGGGGGGGCGCGGCATGAAAAGGGAGGGAAAAAAAAGACAACGCTTGGACACTGCTAGCACGGGCGCCCACACAAACGCAAAGCAGGAGATGAATCATGGCTGACTATGTTTCCAAACCAACTTCATTTTGAGCCAAAGACTAGAAAATATGGTGAAGCAAATCTTCCCTTTGGTTTCACCTGCACAAGTGCCGAGGTAGGTCTCCCTGCAGGATTGGTTTTCCCTTCGTTGGGAGCAGCGCTGGGCTGTTTAAATCACGGACAAACAGTATCCCACATTCTTGATTTGTAGTTCACAAACACTTGTTGTAATGACTTGTAACTACTCCTGACATTTTGGAGATGTTAGCTCTTTATACAGTAAAGTTACAGTGGGATACAAATAACATCAGGCTGATCCTGCCACGATTTGTTCCCCCGGTTCAAATCACGGACAAACAGCATCCAACAGTTGTTTATGTTTTTGAACCCATTTTGCAGAGGCATTTTTTGAAAAAT